TTCTCCCCCCCTCCTTAGCCACCGCTTTCCCCTCCTGATCATCATCCAGGACCTCAGGCGGCGGCGCCGCGCCCCGGCTGGGGGCTGACCTTGCCTTTCATACCCTGTTTATGACACCCTCTACCCGCCAGTGCTTCGCCAGTGGTTCGTCTTATCTTCCCCCCCACCCGCTAGGGAAAGCCCCTCCCCTCTGTCTCCCCCCAGGCGAACGACGAGCACACCGGACGCAATGTCGGTAGCCTTTGCGGGACCAGCTTTGGTGGGCCGAGCTTTTCCAGGGGGGTTACCCGGGAGGAGACAGCTACATCATCGCTTTGAAGTCCTACGGCGAAGTTGGCGGTGCTTTGGACGACTGTGTGGGGGCACTCAGTTGTCCCTTTTTAAAGAAATACTGCTGCTGCTGCAGACATACAGACATTTAATCCTCCCCTCATATCCCTCCGTCCTCTTCTTATCCACCTTCACCCCCGCTCCATACACACACATACACACACACATACAGACGCACATGCTGCCTACCTGACAGGCTGCGCTGCGCCACCTTGTACAGCCCACTCCGAGGCAGTGCCAGACGAGCCGCCGCGAACGCCGCACGCAACAAACTCCACATCTCCACCCGCTGCCTGCGCACGGGCGCGCGTGTGCACGTGTGTATACATGTGTATGTGTATATGTCTTAGGGCGGGAGAAACATTCCTTACACGTATATGTGCGTACGTATGTACGTATGTATATACATATATGTATGTATGTATGTATATATATATGTGCGTGACGTGGCCACGTGGTGGCGACCCTCACTCGTTATTCCCGCTAACCTGAGCCACAGGCCCTCCTCTACCCACTATTCCCCCTCCACCACTACCACTACCATCACCACTACAACCCACACGTACCCCTCCTCTACCCGCTGCTCGTCCACCCACCCGCTCTCGTCACTCATCGCACTCACCTCATATCCGCCACCAGGTTCTTCTTCTTGTTGCCCTGAGCCTGACTGATGATGTGCGCCAGACCCCGCCGACCCGCCCGCAACGCATCCACCTTGTCCATAAGGCCCCGCAGAGTCTCGTACAGCCCCTGGACGTAGGTGGCGTCGTCTGTTGCCCGTGGAGGGGCGGCGGAGAAGAGCCGGGGAGGGGCGGGGCGCGACGGGGGGTTGTATAGAGGGTCGGGAGAGGGAAAGACGAACCACAACGAGTGAAGCTGCTGCCAGGGGGGGAGTGTACCAGGAGTAGAAGTGACTGAGAGGCGCTCTTGAAGGGTCGGGAGAGGGAAGGGGAGGAGGATGGGGACGAGAAATCACGTGGGGCCAATAAACCCAGGCCCAGCAGCCACAATCCAACCCGACCCAACCCATCTCTTTTACCAAGACCCACTAACCCAAAGTAATCGACAGCAAGCCACTTCTTCACTACTTCTTGATGCACTTAAATGCAAATGCGCATATATTTGCATGTACACATCTACCCCAATGAGCTCTGACAATTTCAGCAGCTCCGAAACCTCCCTCAACGTCTGTTCCTACCGCTCCCGCCCACTCCTTTCCAGGCTACTCGACGCCGCCATCTGTCCCCCCTCCAGCCCCCCTCATTACCAACCAACCTCCCGACGACCCATTTCCAATCACCCTGCATCTCAGCCCCCGGGAGCCCCTCCTCTATCCTCTCCCTCTCACACTCCCTCCATCCTCTCACGTGTAGGACACAGACGTCAGGACCGTTAAAACACAGACCCTCAAAAGCGATCCAAAAGCGCGTGTCATCGAGCCTCCTCACCCACCCACCCGGCCTGCTGGTTAACGACGCCCGTGTAATGGCTGCAAGCGCCCGCAGTGCCGCCTGCTTTCGAACAAAAGTAGCCCGCTCGTTGCCCAGGTCGTTCCAGGCGGTCATCAGCGCGTCAAGTCCCAGCTGGTCCACGGCCTTAGTCAGGACCATGCCGCCTGCGGGCGGGCGGGCGGGCGGGCAGGGGAAAGGGTATATTGGGGAAGGTCAAAGAGAAGTTGTCTCTTTGACAACTACCGGTGGAAAGGAGCGCACGGGGGGGGGAGGGTGGGAGGAGAATTTTAATGCGGTAGGAGTTAGATGTGCAATGTTGGGTACCAGCGAGGTTGCAAGCCAGGGCCCATCGTCTTTCCCAGGAGGGGGAAAAAGGGGGGAGATGAGAAGGGAAGCTCGGCAAAACGGGGGAGAGGGAAAGAGGGGCAGGGGAGAAGGGGCCCACCTGCGTTCATGCGCACCGGGAGAGGGGTGCCCGCAGACCCATCGCCCAAGCCCAGAAGCACCAAGTACTGCACAATCCGCATGAGCGCCTTTTCGTCGCGGCCGATATCAATCCGCTGGACCTGCAGTGCCAGCTGCACCCCAGCAATCGTGAAGTGGCCATACTGCAGTAGCCTTGACAGCTGCTTGAGAATTATCTCGCTCTGCTTTTCATCATATGCCTTCAGTGCGCCTGCATCACGGCGTTAAGAATCGCTCTTGTTCTAGGAATGTGCTAGTTGATCAAGTGCAGGCTTTGGAACTAACGTAGATATTGAGCAGCCCTAAAGCAAAACTTACCAAGCCCTTGACAATAGTCGTCATAGATGGGGCTCTGCAAGATAGAAAAGTGTGACGATTGGCTACGAGAGAAAAGCTACTTGCAAAGCTGTAGGACGTGCCAGAGACCTACCTCGCCCTTTCCCAGCGTAGATCGTATGTAATTGTTATATGCTGGGGTCGGGTTACCGGGAATACCCAGGTCTTTCTGCGGGGACGACTGCATTGTCGCGGCCCAAGCACCTTCAGCTCATGGTCTATGATGCATCGTGGGCACGACAAAGTTGGTGACAGACATTTTCCCTGTCCTGTTCTCGTTGTTGTACGAGCAGTTGGCCACAGGAGCAGACTCCTCAATGGCGGTTCCATCTCTTTTGACTTTGTTATTCCCGAATAGCGAACTACTATTTTTCTAGAGTTACTTGGTTAACATAGCGTGTTACGCTGCTTGAAGCTAATATATAGAGGCACGCACCCCTGCAAAATTCGGGTTTGGATCCGCCAATTTCTTACTTCGGTATACGTAGCGCTATGTCGCTTACGTCACAAATGGGTCAAATGAAGGTTGGTAGGGGCGTCGGCATTCAACGATGCATGCGACATGCCAAGCAGGTGGCTGAAAGTGAAGATGGAGCTGCGTTGCTTTTTGGTGTTATTTCAGATTAAAGACCCCGCTGAGATCGAGAGGCTCTTAAAGGAGAACAGCGACCTCAAACGACAGATCGCTGGAGGCGGCGCCAGGCAAGTAGCCTGGAAGCAAGCGGGTAACATACGTAACCTTGGCAAGCTTTCTGGCAAAGCGTAAGGGCAGCAGGGGTTGAGGGCGCAACGTTTGACTCCCCGCCCCTGGCCTGCGCATGGGTTTGAGCACGTCGCATAAGCAGGGTCAAATGCCCCATACCTCAGCAGCCAGCTCCCACCACGCTGCCTGAACTTTTAGGCAGCTTGGACCAGTTTAAGCAGCATGCAAGGGCCTGCCATGACGGTGCTCCGTATATTACTCCTTAAAAATAGCGACTGCGCATCGATGCTAGTAGTGGGTGCCAGTACTGGGTGCTTGCCGACCTGTGCGTGAAGGTCGGGGCTGGCTGGGCCGGCCAGGCGGCCGCCCGACGCATGCATATGGTCCTGGTCATGTGGTCATGAGCTTCAGCTCTCTGTACCCCAGCAATCTGTGGTCCTTTCCGTATGCGCCAGTGCCTCTGCCTTCTGCAGACTGCCTTCAGCTCTGGGCCCAGTGTCCCCGGGGGTGCCCATACCCCCACCTTTTCAAGCCACAAGTTGGCCAAATACCCCTACCCATTCTTATCCATCCCTACTTCTTTACCCCGTGTACAGCTCCTCGTACCAGATCCCGTACGAAGATCTGGAGGTGCAAGATCAGATTGGGGGCGGTGGATTCTCACTGGTGTATCGAGGCTTCTGGAAGGGAACCCCAGTCGCGATCAAAAAGTGGTTTGACCCCAATCACTCGGAACAGATGGTGCAGGAGTTCAGGTGAGAGGGTGTTATGGAAAAATGGAACTATGAGTCTTGGGGAAGCTGGTTTTGTGAACGGTGATGGAAGGCATGTGTAGAGTTATGGGATGTAAGGAAAAGGAGGTGAAAAAAACTTGCTTCCACAGTTGCGCTTGCGAGGAAAAAGCAAAAACAAAAACTACGTACGGTACGACTTCCAGAGTAATAAATAGCTCGAACCGAGGTGAAGAGGGGAGGTTAAGGGTTGAGAAAGGAAGGCTTGGGGCGGGGAATGGGGGGAGATGGGGGATGGGGTGTGTGCGAATGCGCGCCTCAGTGTGCATCTGGAAATGCGTAGCTGGGTAGGGGAATGGGAATGGGATTGGGATTGGGATTGGGAGGCGGGTGTGCTAGGGCCGCTACCAGTGGTGTGGGTTCAGATATTACGCCGGCCAGGCTTTGGGTTTTTTAAGTCGTATGGCGATGTGGGTCAGTCGCCGTGCAGGGGCACTCTGTGCGTTGTGCAGGAGAATGTGCGCGGACGGACCACGACGTGAAACGGAGCCCACATCCCCCGTGGGAGTGGGTTGCGGTGGCTGGGATACCACATGGATACCACATTACATATGAAGCAAGAAGCAAAGGGTTAAGCGCCAACCTGACCGTAGTTCCAGGCCGGGGAGCGCCCGTAGCGCGCGAGTGGGTGATTCGATGAGTGTTGGGACGGGTGTTGGCTGGGAGGCGAGAGTTTTATGCCGTGTACATCTGCGCTAGCGCTAGCGCTTCTAGAAATGCAAAATCCCCCATCGAACGCGCAACCAGGAGATGTCAATCAGAGGGGTCGGTAGGGCGGAGTAGACGTAGGGCAGGCAGGTAGGAAGGTATGTAGGTATGTATGTAGGTAGGTAGGTATTGGGAAGAGGGTACTTGCGGGTCATACGCAGCTTCTCGCACACCAAGGATCGCGTCGGCCACCAACAACACTTCTATGGGTAGGTAATCGGGCGCTGCGAGCAGGAGCAACAGCAGTAGCAGCAGCAGCAGCGGGGTGGAGCGCGGCGCGTTTCGTGGCTTGTCGTGTCATGTGGATTTCCCCCTGCCGGCCTGGCCTTTGGCTTGTCCTGCTGGTGACGCTGATGGCCCATACCGCCCTCTGCGGTTGCACACACATGCGACCAGTGCGAGTGCGACTGCACAACACGATAACCAAATGAGCTCCAGCCCACGGCTGCCGTATGCAGCTACGTTGTCCGAGTAGCTGCATGAGCGGTTGGATACAGGGGTTATTGAGCGCTTGGGGTCCGGGGTTATGGATGTGGGCTCTTTTACCTCTGTTATCCGCCCTTTTCCATCAGGGGTGATGCAGCGCCTACATTTCCTTGCATCCCGGGCTCCCATTCACCTTCCCCACCTCACTCACCGGGCCCTCACCAAAATCCGCTTCCCTCCCGTTTTAAAACTTGGATATCTCGGCCTTTTTGTGGACATTTTATTGAGTCCAGGGAGGAGGTGATGACGCTGGCGGAGCTTCGACACCCCAATGTGTTGCAGTTCCTGGGTGCCTGCATGAAGCCGCCGCACCTGGCCATGGTGACCGAGCACATGCCCTTCACGCTGCACCACGTGCTGTACCAGGCTGGCGTGGACTTGGACCGGAAGAAGGTGGTGGGCCTGGCCCAGGACATTGCCAGGTGAGCCGCACGGTGCGGGTTGTGGTGGGGTGTGGTGGGGCTGGGAGAGAGGTGTGGTGCGATGGATGTGTCTCTTTACTAGATTTTGGCTGCAAAAGGGAGACAGGTACATGAAGAGAAGAAGGGGGGGTTTGAAGGATTGATGTTGAGAAGCGGCTGAGGGTTTGGAGAGGGTAGGATAGGATGGGGAGGTAGGGGGAAGGTGGTTTGGCGAGGGCTGAAGGGGACGCGGGCTGGTGGGAAGTACACGGGGGATGCCCGACGCAAGCCCCTGATCTGTGCTGTCTTGTGGTGCGCCTGTTTTATCGCAGGGCTTTCATCTACCTGCACTCACGGCGGCCGGCGATTGTGCACCGGGACATCAAGCCCGCGAATTTCCTCGTTGACCGTGCCTGGAAAGTTAAGGTGCGAGCGAGGTGGATGGGCGCGTTTGGATGGGAAGGTGGGCTGCTGTCCCGTTGGATCTCAGGTTGGATCGTTTTCGGGGCTTCGTATGTGGGTGGAGCCCGGGACGGTGGAGGGGGGCTTGTGAGCCCCCCGGGACGGTGGAGGGGGGCTTCGCAGATAGAACTCCTTATCGTGCGATCAGACAAGCCAAGCATTCTTTAGCCTTTTTTGTCAGTACCTTTCTGTACAGTGAAAGAACAAATCAAGCTAACCATGTTCGATTTGTTTGCGTTGTTTGCGTTGTGTACTTCACTTCCGCTTTTCCCGTTTCCGATAAAAGTGTCTGAGAAATTGTTGTGGCAGCTGTCTTTGGTTTCCATTTCCTGGCGAGACGCGCCAACAGGCCAGAGCCAACCCTTTTTGTGCGGCTGTCTTGGTAACGCGCATCTATCTGCACAGACTGGAAAACCCGCATCTCGTTATCATAATAAGGTCCGAACGTGAACTGTCTGCTGCTGGATAGAACTGCTTGACGTCGCTCTGCACGACCTCACCGAGAAGGAAAACTCTTTTTGGCTTTGATGTCCTGTTCGTTGTTTACCCGAGAACCGTTCTCGCGCAATTACTGGCAAAACAGCGCACAGCGCAAATATTTTTTTCTCAGACAGAAGCGTTTTTCACACGGTCGCGGCTCAACTTCGCAAAAACGGACTCCGAAATCGATCCGCGGCAAGGCTCGTCAAGCGCGCACCTCGAACGGCCTTTCGACGTCTGAAACGTGTAGCCATAAATCAACTTGAACCAACATACCTTCATAACCTTCGGCCAACCTTCCGAATGGAGACGATTTGCACAGCAGCCCTGGATGACCATGCTAGGAGCGGGCGAACCCCTGACCGATTTCCGTGCAGTACAGTCCTACCTGCCTAGGTGCTGTTACATTTCGAAAGTTCTTGCATCTGGCTATCTCTGCATTCTGCTGAGCCTTCATTTGCATAGTATGCTCCCCCCGGAGGTGATCATCATCAACATAGCGGGGCAGGCGGGGAGGTGTGGCAGGACGCACGGACATGGTACGGCAACAAACCTGCTGGAAGGAACAGCCGCGGAGGCGTCCTCTGCCGTCAGCACGGCCCTGAGCACGGCAACGATAATCTCCGAAACAGACACATCTGCGGCTCTCGGCTGCTTAGGAGGGGGGATAGGCCTTAGTCGTTCTAGCTTAGGCGGTCTTTCCGTTGGGGCTGGGCAGCAGATCCTGGCCAGTGTCAGGGTCGGTCAGATACTTGTAACGATCACAATCAGACACACACATACACACACAGACGCTTCCACCGTGAGGTGCGTTAAAACAGCAGCCAGCAAGGACGTTTGTGCGCCGTATGTTTAAGAACACCTTGGTTTTCCTCATAAGCTGAGAAAATCGATACGATTGACCGCGGCTTGGATCGATTCGACGGTCTTCCAACGTGAAAGGGGCGCGGGAAGGAGTGGAAAGGAGAGGGACATCTGCATCATCAAGCGGATGCTCGTCTGACGCAGTGCGGCCGCCGGGCGTTTGTTAGCGACTGGCGACTGCCGCAATACATTGCATGCGCACATATCCCTTTTGTAAGTACTGAGTACATGACCACTTCTACAGAAAATGATAGATGCCGCAATGCTACCAGGGCCCAATCAGGGTGGTGGTGAAATTCGCTTGTGGCTGTATCGCCCCTGTGGCGGTGCGTTTCGAGGAACTCGGTGGCGAGTTGCCGTCATGGCGCAGTGTGTTGTGGTTCTGCCATTGGATTGGACCATCACCACATCACCACCACACCACCATCAGAGCCAAGAAAGCTAAAAAAAATCAAAAACCTGAATTGGATTTAGGGTGGGCAACCCTAGAAATGGGCAACCCTTGGTGCTTCGTGTCCCTCGTACATCGTGGTTCGTTTGTCCTTTTCCTCTTCGCTTCACTCTCGGAAGTCGTTTGACTGCTTTCTCTTTCCTTCCCTCTTACCTCCGCCGTCTTCCTACACCTCCCCCCGCCTTGCTGTGTAGGTTTGTGACTTTGGACTTGCATCCAACAGTAAGGCCCAATCAGGGGCGGGAACACCGCAATACATGGCCCCCGAGCTGTGGGAGAACAAGGCCTACAACGAAAAGGTAGTTTGTGATGTACGGAACTTGGTGACAAGAGCAGCATGGGGTACCTGGCGCCAACTTGAAGCCTAGAAGCAAAAGCACGCAACGTGTGTCTGAAGAGCGATGCTAAAGAGTTTGCTGCGCTACTGATGGCGCCGCACCTACCTTGCTGCAGCCATACCGCACCGCTACCTACCACCTTCACAACCCTCCTTCTGGTGCTTCGATTGGATGAATATCAGGACGACGGAACCAACCAAGCACCTGCTTACCTACCTGTTTGCTGATCCGCCAGATCCTCTTAACTCCCCCCGTGTTTCCAACCCCCCGGTCCCCCCACCGCTTGTCTCAGTTGGGCCTTTTCATCAGTTCCGCTTCCCGCTGGTCGGTTTTGTCTCCTCCTGCTCAGACCTGTCTCCTTTTCCGCCTTTGAAATCATCGTCATGCATTATCGCATCGGTCCCCTAACCCTCCCCTCCCGTTCTTGTCACGCCTCTCCCCTCCCCTCCCGTTCTTGTCACGCCTCTCCCCTCCCCTCCCGTTCTTGTCACGCCTCTCCCCTCCCCCTTCGCCACCGCGCACTTCCACCCTGCACATCGGCGCTGAAGGTGGACGTGTACGCCTTCGGGGTGATGTTGAACGAGCTGGTGGCCAAGGAGCCGCCTTTCAACGGCATGCCGTTGGGAGATGTGCGTGCGGCAGTGCTGGCGGGCAAGCGGCCGGACGTGCCGCTATCCTGTTCCAAGGTTGGTACGTTTTGAGTGTGCACGGCACGCGCTGAGGATTGAGGCATGAACGAAGAAGAGATATGAGAGAGAGAGAGAGAGAGAGGGGGGAAAATAAGGGGGGGGTCCAGGAAGCCATTATAAGGGTAAGGCATTATATGGGTAATTGACGTACAATAAACACATAAGCCGCTTCACGATACATGGATGCGCGGCAATCCCCTGTGTATTGCTAAAGGATAATTATGTTTGGTGATGAATGTTTTTTTCAATAAAAGAATGCGGATTTCCGGGTCGGTTTTGGGGGTCTTGATATCCGATGTATGTCTTGGATGGTTGGATGGCTTGTGCGATTGCCTGGCGCACACCGCAGGCTTTGACGGACATCATCAAGAAGTGCTGGGCGGCGGAATCTGCGGCACGGCCTAGCTTTGTACAGATCAACGACCTTCTCAAGGAAGCGGCCAAGACGCTGTAGTGGCTGTAGCGCTGACCGCTGGCTCATCAAGCGCGCACAACAGCTGCTACAACAACAACAACAACAACAACAACAACAAAGCAAATGTAATATTCGTTAAAACGCGACCACGAACTGCCTATGGCTGACCTCGCCGACCGCGGCAAAAACGGAGATCTCTCGAAAATTATGCTTGAGTTAATATAGGCCAGAATGGCAGAAAATGGGCAGGCGCGGACCTCCGCGCCAAATGAACGTTCAAATGGACGGGCGACAGCCCCAGCTGCTCGCCAACAACCAAGCCGCGCCCAAGCGGAACGAAAGTTTGTGAACATCGACATAATAATGGAAACGGTTCCAGAAGGAACACCATTTCATGCGGAACAGGACCAGGTTACCATGGAAATCCATTGGCCGGCCGGTTCCGACCCCGCGGACATACAAGCCCAGCTACATGGACCAGTGGGCAAGGCCATTTTAAACAGATTACGGGCGATAATACCGCCCGTTGAGGCAGAGGGGCTACTCGGGCCGCGAATCAGCAAATGCCCGCAACGGGCACTCCCCAGCGGCGTGAAGGTGCAAGAAATCAGCATCTTGATCCGGAAAGGTGGTCTCGCAATGCTTACCACCTCGCCAGCAGTCCGGAGGGGACGGCTTCACCTGGGGCCAGTCCATCTCCTACCCAGCAGCCCCCCGGTGGAAGTGGAGCTGCCCATCACGAACCTGTACAAGGC